TGTTGATGATCTAACTCTTCAAATAAGAATCCTTCAGAGAATCCTCCAAACGAGCCCCAAGCCAAACCCTAATCTCTGATACCACTAACAAGAACGAGATAGATCACAACCAATAAGTAAAACACAATCACCACCAGCAAGACAAACGAATTTTACGTGGTTTGGCAAGTTGTCTACGTCCACGGGGCAAGTAGGAGAAAGTTTTTACTATTAGAGGTAAATATAATACAAATAGGGTTTATAATCTCACCAAAAACCCTCAAACAAAGCTCTCAAAATCTCTCACAAATTCTCCCTCAAAGGATGCACAAATCTCTCTCAAAAGATGCTCAAAGTCGTCCTTTTTATTCACCCTAGAAACAACAATGTTTCTATTTATATGAACGGTAAACCCAAACCAATCAGGAAACTGGATCTAGGCCCAAAAACGCGATCCGGTCGACCGCACATATAGTCCGGTCGATCGACCAGAAGGCTGAAAACTCAGCTTAACGATTACATGGTTTCGGTCGGCCGGACTTAGCCTAGCGGTCGAGCGAACAGGGTTCGCGGTCGACCGACCTAGTATCGCGGTCGACCGGACAGAAAGCCAAAATAACACCCTGTAGCGTGCACGTTTCTGGTCGACCGGACTGCATCCAAAAGTTTGCTTGGTTCGTTTTTCCTGTTCTTCGTCGCCATTTTCGCCGTTTCTACAGAGATGTTGATCATAAAATGAAGCGCACCACTTCGTTTTGTATGGAGTATCTGTCGTCTTACAATGCTGGCTCAGTATAATTTTATGTTTAGATTCCATAAGAATTACAGCAGAAACTGTATTCGGTGTAAAATCTTTATTTATTTCCTTTTTAAAAAAAAAAAAAAAGCAGAAACTGCTATTTTGTGCGTCTAGCTCATGCGAAACTTACCATCCATCTCCTTGGATTGAAGGTTAGAGGTTCATGGTATAGACATGGGTCATAGTTCATCTCCCCCATATACAAAATGATTTTCCACCCTTTGGGAATCACAAATCCTGGTAGAAAGCATTATTAGAGTTTGTGCTAAGTATTAGTTCTTGTTTGAAGGGAGTAAAATAACTGAATGTTTCTCTTCAGTTAGTAGGTACTTGAGGATTTTTTTTAGATTATAAAACTCAGAATTTAGAAGGAAAAAAGCATCAAATTTGCTAATAATGAGGCAATTGTGTAGAGTGAAATCTTAGCGCGGAAGTATATTGTAGTAATCAAAGAAAACATAGTGGAAGCCTCAATGACAATCAAGTCATAGTTGGTTCTTTCATTCGTACTTAATCTTCTTGAAAGAAAATCTTTAACAACTGAAATCATTTCATAAGTAAGAAATTTAGATAATCACGTACAGTTACTTTTCTACTATAAGCTATGGGAACCAACCTCTTATTTCTATATCTTCAGTTGTTTTCCTCAAAACTCCCTTAACAATTGAAGCCATTCTCAACGTTTCTAAAATCACCTACAGCATATAGAAAATCCATTAAAAATCCATTAGCTTTTAACCTTGCAAACCATTTCCTAACAGATGAAAGGTCAGTTCATCTGCTTACTGCACGAGTGAAGTTCATGGACTTGTAGTCGTTAGAGTTAAGTGCATCCCCAGGTAACTTCCCTTTTCTGATTTCTAAATGTTCATTCTGCAGTCAGTAATCGGTTGCTAATCAAACTTAAACTAGTCATAAAAATAGAAAAGAAATTAATCACAACACTCAATTCATACCCTGAGATCTTCAAGGATTTTTGGGTGATCATGGAGGTACTTGACAGCCATCATCGATGTCGTGGAAACAGTTTCATAACTTGAATAAATCAGAGCAATGATCACATCGATGATCTGATCATTCGTCAGTTTTGCTTTTGATCCTTCCTCAGGCTGCAATAGGCAATCAAGCATGTCATGATGCAAGCTCGAAGAAGCTCTTCTTTCTTCAATAATCTCTGTCAACATACATATAATTTTCTTCCTTGCCTGAAAATGCAAAGTAATTTGTTAATAATGGACAAGAAATTTCTTGACAATGAACAAGTAATTTGACTATCTTATCTTTATTGTGGATATTGATTTTTTTTTTAATTTTTAGAGCGGGATTCTTACCCGTAATCTCCAAGAGGAACAAATGTTTTTTTATTTCTATAACTTTTGTAAGACACGTATACATTATATTTTTGTAATTGGGCATGTTTCATTAAACCCTTATTTTAAGGGCATTATACCCTCCTGTTGCGTGTCGTGCCGAAGCGTGCTTGACAACTAAACGAGTCCACGAGCGATGAGAGAAGAAAACCAAATCAAATACAAGTGCAATTCACCAAAACACGATACAAATCAAACTAAACACAGAGATTACGTGGTTCGGCAATTGCCTACGTCCACGGGGAGAGGATGAGAAGATTTCACTATATGGAGGAGAAATACAAAGGATTACAACTCACAAAATCACTCAAATATAACTCTAACCAAAGCTCTCAACTCCCTCACAATATCTCCCTCCAAAGTTCTCAAAAGACTGCTAATTCTCTCCTATTGAAACCCTAGAAACGTGTTTGTATGTATATCAAACACCCAATCCAAAACCAACCAGGAAAACCAAATCTGGCCCATAACTGCTTCG